GACGTATAACGTTGAAAGCATTAAAAGTATATTAAATTAAAATATATATCGCGAAACATAATTTCATCTCAACAAGTTAATTATTTTATTGCTACGTAGTCAATGTAGCGAATTTATAACAACCTTGTAAATGGAAATGTATCTATTAGAATTAGATCGTTACTTTCACATATATACTTTCGTTTATTTGTGATAGTGAATATACTGTAGTTACTTTAAGTTGGTCCAGACATATACAATTCACCAATTTAAATGTATGTCTTTCTACTACTTTACTAGATGAGAAAAGATTTGATTTCTCACAATGATCCTATTGTGATAGTACTACAATCACGTAATTATAAACCTTCACATAAATGTTATTTTAAACAAGTAATGTTAGAAAGTTATCTACACGTGCATTTAAGGTCTAGACGAACAAAAAGCAGACCCTAATAAATAAGTGAAATTTATGATCTCAAGTATTGCGAAGTGGATGATGGCCCATTATAAACAAAAGACTTATTGCGTTCTTAAGACGAATACCATAAAAAAGGGATAGCCAAGGGTCCACGACAGCAGTTAAAAATAGGCACATGTGCAAGACAGCACACGAATAAGCGTGAGAAAAGCCCTTAGTTAGGGGTCCTTTTGGGAACGTTAAGGGATAAGGAACGGGCAGTTGGTCTTGAGTCGTAAGACAGGTCGGTCGGTCTTAGGAGCTAGGAGGCAGAGGGTGTTCGTCAAAAGCTGAACATGCTCGGACGCGCGTATTGCAGTTAGTTTGAGTAAGTTAAATATATAGAACTTTGAGGACAGCTAGGTGAGTCTTTATTGGTTATTATGTTTTAGGATTATTATTATACGTATTTATATTCCGGTCTGAGTAACGTAGTATTAATTAATAACTTAGATGTAGTTTCCATGCAGTTTCCCTGCTAAATTTTACTTACGCATTTGGTATTGGTTAAGATATCTTGAATGTGATAGAATGATTAGTGACCCCTTTATAGTGCTCTACAGTGTGGTGAATCGAGTTATAACTGAGGCGATATGACCACCTTGGTTGATCAGATCAACCAGGCCGCGGTCCTTGCTACACGGTTATCCTTCGGTGACCTGTCATTGTGGTGTATTTAGGAGGAGGTTAGTGTAGGTTCAGTGAGTGCCGTGTACTTGAGTGGAGAGCGTCTTAATGGGCTTGTCCTGGGTGGTCGGTTTGCGGGAAAGCACTGATGCTGTTGATGAATTGATGGAGATCGAGCGGTCCGAGTCCGCCGTCGGCGCACGCGTTGTGTCCGGTAGCATAAGGGTTAATGCCACATCAGACGAGCAGTATTCACGTGTCTGACCTTGCGGCCTTGAGCATTCGGTTGTAGAAGTTGATTGACTCACTTTAAGCTTAAGTGCACAATGGATGGAAGCCTGATAGGATAAGCACAACCAATACCAATGTATTTAATTATTTCATTTAGACTTTGATTCCCTCTTATCGCGGTCTTTTGTTGTTTATTCGAACGTTAAAAAGCCAGTGGGAAGATGTCCAGTCAGGGTCGAGTCTTACAGCCTGGCGCGGTTGGAGGAGCGTTAGACCTCCCCCACAGGGAGGGGAGCTGGCTACGTGTTTAATAGTTGAAAAACTGCTTTACTCAGGCTAGGGTATTTGAGGTACCATCACACTATTCTATAGAATTAATAATAACAAATAATATAAAGAGCAACCTAAGTTGTGCCTTCACAACTTGTTATAAAAATATCACTTGAATTCTTTAACTGCTTTAATCATCATCAGCCTATCACCGTCCTCTGCTGAACTAAGTCTTAATTGCTCTCACTAACCATGATTTTACCATTTCCACGCACACCAAATATGGAAGGGGTATTGCTCAATTCATGCCAATAGTTGTAATATTGGAAACTAAATCTTCATTATCTCCTACATTCTTTTCGTACTAAAATAATAGGGAAACAATATTATTTTACTCTTATCAATAATAATATGGTATAAGGCTTATAATAACATTCTACAATTCGACTGAACTCCTTCGAAATATCACATGTATGACATTCTGGTTTTATAATGTAGTCGACTGCCTCGGTGGTGCAGTGGTAGCGTATGCGACTGCTAAAGAGGTCTCGGGTTCGATTCCCGGGTCAGACCAAATGTTTGTATGATCTGCAAATATTTGTTTCGGAGTTTGGGTGTTTTCTATGTATAATATGTATGTATTTATAAAAAAAAGTATATAAGTATTGTGTCAGTCAATCTAGCATTCATAGTACAAGCTCTGCTTAGTTTGAAACTAAATCGCGTTGTGTGTCAGATGTGCGAAATATTATTATTATAGTTAAAGTTAGCCGTTTTTTAAAGTAACCTGAACAGCATTACAAAGAGAATAAAAGCTTGACTCAAACCCTATCCAACCCTTCTGGCCAGCAAGGTATAGTAGACCAAAACCTCCTTACTAAGGAGAGACCCATGCCCAGCAGTGGACTGTTAAAGGCTGTAGTAATATTATAGTAATCAAGCTTTTTGGTAACCTAACATGGTTACTTTATTTTTATCTGCATATGCTAAGGAGTTATTTAAGATCTCGAAGCTAACACTAAAAAAGCACTGGTATGCTTCTGTTTAGTTACAGTACTTGTAAAATGGATCTTCTTCTCTTTTTGTTAGGGAAGTTTCGATTTCAGCCACAAGTTGCACGCAATTTTCTTCCACTGTTGACCGTCGGATAATGACCACGGCGTTGTGGTCCGCATAACAATGAGTTTCATCATGAATTTGATTGGCTTTTGGGATTAGATACTGGGACAGTATTATTTCAGATCTGGACGCGCAGAAGGTTTTTCAGAAGCCTATCCATGATGTAGTGGTTGTCCGACTAAAGCGAATTCCGCTAAGACTAATTATTAAGTAACTTCATTTAATTAATTCTGTTTCGAGGACGTAAATGATAATGATATTATATCAAGAGAGCCTGAAGAAATGAAAGAGAAGAATGGTATAAAGATAAGATTCCGACTCGTGAATGAAGAGTTTAAAAAAAAACCTTCTATATTCGCATCGTAAAGTCAACTGAATTAATTCTTTCCCTACATCAGGTACTGAAAGTTAAAAGTAAAGAAAATTTATCCTTTATTTATTTTATTATTAATAACTCGTATCTGATTTTATTACTGGTAAATACTATTATCGATCCGAACTTAAAGAAGAGGCTTTTTTGTTATTATAATACCTGTATAAAATTATATTATAGAATTTGATTATAAACAATTTTCCTAACCTGTTTAGGCTGTTGAGCAAGTTATCTCCATTTACACCGAATGCGAGACCCGATGATATGTAAGTGGCCTGTAATAAGGCACATATTGCTTTGGATACGCTTAGCTGCGACCCTAGCAAACAGCACGATCCGATACCAATACTGATTACGTTAAGGTAGCAAAATTTTGTGGCTTTCAAGTGAATTTTAAAATGGTCTCATTGACAAACATATATATATTATATTCAATTTAAAAACCAACCATTACATGTCTTTTCAATTTTACTCATAGAACAATACTGTTTTAAGTTGAAAGCCATTTCAAACGTCATTAGAAAGCCATGCCAAATCGTCGACTATACGAACGATTGATACGTAATCGATGCCCTGCGCCTCACAATGATATGTGCATAAAGCAATAGATTATAAATGTTGAATATAGTTCACAACCTTGCACAGCTCGACGTATAGACGTCACGTAATGCTAAAATATTGTACAAACACCTAATTTAATTACATTGTACTGTCCGTGAACGAGATTAGTCTGTTGACTTATTTATGCATGTTATACCTGGTGGAGTCTCTTTGACATGTATCGTGTACTGTGAGTACCGTGTCCGCTTTGGTGGTAACGACCAAACTTATTTCATTCATTAATTGCTCGGCAACGCTTCATAGATTTTAGTTGCTGAATGATTTAGTTACGAAAGCACATAGTGTTTAGTTGTAGAACGAAGCACGTGCTTACTGTTTACATGTTGGAATACCTCAACGGAGAAGGCAGTTCGAGACTTACCGACCAAAGCGGCAACACGCTCACCGAGGTGACTCCACTTACATCTCACACACACACCACTGTGTCCGTATAACACGAAACATCCCTTTGTAGGCGACCGATCATTGCATCGAGTTCGTCAAGCTCTCGGAAGTCCATGCAGGACTCAGAGAGGCCGGGCTCAGACACAGACAAACGCGGCCATAAATGGAGGCACGTCCAAGCTGTCATGGCATACTACCAGGCACTCAGGAAAATAAAGAGGTTCGAACACTACCGGACCACCGGTAAAGCCGCATCGTTGTCGATTGTTTATTTCATTGTTTATTTATGATTTCCCACTAATGTGCTACCTTCGTCAGTGTCTAGGAACTTCGGGAATGGTACTTTACTAACTGGATTTTGTGTGTTTTTCTTGTGGATATTGTGTCTTTACTAGTTCACCAAAAGATTCTACTTTCCTACTGTCACTTGGGAGGATGAAACGTGTTCAGTGTTATTTCCTTATTTAATTGCATTCTTAATGTTTCGATAGATGAGATAGTTTAAAATTCCTAAACTTAGATGCAACTAGACTAGATTTAGCCGAGTAATAGATTCGACTCACTGATATCTTACTCTACAAACTATTATTACTATAAATTTTTATTTCTATAGTGTGAATTGCCATGCCGCATGTCGAAATAGAATTATTTGTTTGCACGTCTTTAAGATCTTTCTGTACACGAACAGTTCTAGTGCCTCGTCGCAAATAATAATGTAAATAGATATATTTTTCAGAGTGAATTAAAACTTAAAGTTCTTGAGTATAAATGAACAGAATCTTCCAGAATAAATCTTTTCTTAGAGAACTGAATAATGAACACTCTTGTCTGTCTAATTTACTCGAACTTTCTGAAAGCATGGCTACTATTGCTTCTACACTCCCTGTTGTACTTCAGACTATAGGATTAAACATTGATTTGAATGTATGACTGCAGAACAAAGTCGAATCAAAGATGGATGAAGTTGCGGACAACGGTTCAGTTGAGCTCGGCAATACAGAAAAAACCACCGCTGAAGAGAGAAGACTCCTTCCTAAAAAGATTCTCCACTAGGCAGACACCAGAGACACAAGATACTGTAAGTATATAACTTAGTACTTACAGAAAATATTTTAGAGATTTTTAATTTCTCAATAATAAAAAGAATAACAAATCAATTCCGAGTGCCGAAGGCCATTCTATTCAAGCGATTTGCTCAATGTTCTTTTCATTATTTTTTTTTGTTAATCACAGATTTGTTTTTAAACATTGTAAATCGCCTAACACTCTGCTTAATCTATGTACACACAAAGACGATTTCCTTTGTTTTTTTATTTTCATGGCTTTTTTATATGCCACGGTTCTAACTACACTCGCTCAAGCAAATAAGCTAAATCGGTTAAGTTGAAAGGAAGCTAGCTGAGAACATACAACTTAAACTTAATACTGCGGGGTGGGCGCTTTTTCATATGACGTAGAATTATTTGACGACCGGATGGTGTAGTGGTTTCGGTAACCAAAAGTCGCGGGTTCGATTCCCGCTCAAGTCAAACATTTTTGTGCATGAACATTTAATTTGGTACCCATACCAAATAAAAAATGTTCATGCACAATGTTAGTAAATGTTTTTATGGATAATATGTACATACATACAAAAAAAAGTAAATGTGTCTTTATATCAGTTGTCTAGTACCCATAGAACAAGCTCATCTTAGTTTGGGACTAGATGGTATTGTATGAATGTGGTACAATATTATATTTAAATATTATATTATTATTTGTTAGTATTACATAAGTAAAATTAAAAGAGGGATTCGTGGCTAAGAGGTAACCGAGTAGGTTGACACATTGCCAAGTTAAGCAATCCTAGCCAGGTCAGTCTATGGATGGGTGACCATTCTTAACACATTGAAACCGCTTCGTGCTTCGGAGAGCACGTTAAACCCTCGGTCCTGCTTCCTATACGAACATCTGTTACAATCGTTACGGGTAGTTGGACCCTAAAAAGTCCGACAATAGTCTTTACAGGACTTACAGGACTTACAGGACTTCGATAGCGCCTAGTACTTGGGCTGTGGAGGTCTGATGGCACTCAATATAAAATAGAAATAGTAGATTTAAAGCCCAATCTAGTTTACGGCAAAGATCTAAGTAAAAGTAAATGATCTTTAAGTGGCAAAGAAGGCGTTTGTGTGAAATTTAAATAAATAGTTTGTCATGTAGAACCATGGGTAAAGGTGACTTATCAAAATCGAGTCTGAGTTAAAGAACACAATTTTTTGTTACTAATGTCTACTTGTAGTAGGCTATTTTATTGTGAAACACTTATACAGGTGACATGACATTTATGGTAAAACCTGATGGTAAAAGGCTGTAAAAGTACAGGAATATATTTAATAGAATTCAATTATAGGATTGAATTCGATTAAACATAGTAATGTTTACCATACACAGCATGGATCGTGGGGTTCCCATATCTATAGAAGCAATTATTATTAACATTATATTTTTTTAATAAAATTGTTCAAATAAAACTATTTTTTTTAAACTATTTCTATTATTATTTCTATTTATTCATTTAAATTAGTCGAGTCACCATTTTGTCAATGCTCAACACCTAACTCTCACTATGAACAGTCTGCTCATCATATCCTCTGGGAATGTAGTCTTTGGTATAATGAACGTAATATAATGCTGAATAGCTTGCAGGTGACATCTGGGGCGGTATACTATGGGGATCTTGTGTCAACTAGGGTGAATTTCCGTGCGTTTAGACGATTCTGCCATACATATTATAGAAATCAAACATAGCTCACGTAGGACCCGTAATATTTGTGGCCGTGGTGCTTCCCTGTTTAAAAGGGTGTATGCCCATTTTACTTCATTTTGTCTCCCGCTTTGCTAAGGAGGGAAGTGGATTTACTGTATTTCCAACTCCTCCAATTTTCTTCTGATTAATTTCGTTGCGGGTTCCAAGACAGTTTAATTTCTTCCTGGGACTTCCCGAGTGTCATAACTCGGTGTGTTCGTGGGTCACTGCTGTGGATCCTGGTGTACAGGAGTTACAGCGGTGGGCGTGTGGGTGGGATTAGTCCCAATAAAAAAAAAAACTATTTCTAATTTTTTTTGTTGACTGTACTCTCCAGAGACATACATTGTTTTTGTTTTTGATCCCAATATACTTCTACTAATCAAAAATAATTATTTTATCTAGGTGGTATTATTGATAGTATTGTAATAGGTTAATTCGTGACCGCCGATTCGGTCCCGAAAGCGAACGACCCGAATAGTTTAACATTATAAAGTAAATAACCTATTACCAAACAAGCTAGCTAGTGAGTCAATACCTTATGAAACTAGAACATTGTTCGGGAGTTAAACAATTGTAATATTGAATTTCGAAGCCTTTGCTCGGATTAAGGTTTGTTGTACATTGCCCTACATGGGTAGAGTGTAGTTCAAATTACTTATTATTTAAAGCTATATTGGTGCAAATTCTGTTGTTCGAAAACTCTCTCAATTAAACTTAAAAATTTTAAATTCCAAATTTGAACATTTTAAAATTGAACCGATTAGCTTTCTAGATCTAATACATACATTTAAGTTACAATTATTATTATTTTTTTTATTCAAGTCAGATCATATAACCCGCCCCGCGTCGCTCCCGGTGCAAAGGTGCCCATGATATGACATGAAATTCTTTGCACCAGAAACGAGCCGGAGCGGGAGTCACCACTTTTATCTCTATCCCTATATTACCCCTTACTTAAAATTAGTTTAGACCTGTCAAATAATGTTTCGTATTCTGAAAACATAGTACTTGACAGGACAAAACTATTTTATTGTGATTTTTAGATTAGTTTGGAGATTCGAACAACAGAATTACCACCATTGCTTGGTTAGCTTTAAATTTCGCCTACACCCGACTGGGTGAAGTCTTTAATCAAGTCAAAAGACAAGTCAAGTCAATTTGCAAATCAAGTGCATTGTTACCCTTTGATTAAGTCCCCCTCTCAACCCCTCTCGCGATAAGAGGTGGTAGGAGTTGGGCTTATGGTTACTCGGCCATTTTACCTAAGAAATAAATAATTTAATAACCTACAAAGAGTTTATTTTTCGCCCGAATCCCTGCTGATGCCATCAATGAGAAGCCTTGAGAATATCGAAACTCCGATATACTAAATATAAATAGTGGTTTGGAAATATCTTTGCCATATTAGAAAGTTTCGCTTTTTACGGTAAGGTACACAATACAATACAATATCGTTATCAAACCAATTTTTGCCATCCAATTCTTAAATCTTTAATTCTCTTAGATTTATCACTAAAAAATCTTAAAATTTCTTCCTATTGAATATTTCTAAATAGAAATATATATAATATAACTTTCAAAATCATGGTCGTATAAACGCCAAAGCTAGCGCTTCGAAAGCGACAATTAAAAATATTGGATAATAATTGGAATTGCCAATAGCCCAGCTCTGGAAACAACAAACAAGTTTAATGCGTTGTCTGATGGCTGAGTTGATACAGCGACGGTATAACAATAACATGATTGATACCGGTGAATGAAAGAGGAAAGCTGACAGCATCAGCGATGCAGGGAAATATGGAATCCTCTGGTGTATTCATCATTTCACTGCATCATTATTACTCGTACGTCGAATTCTCCCGTGCCTATACATTCGTAGTCTCGTATTACACGTAGTTTTAAGTACACTGCATACCTGGTGTATGTATTCACAAAAACATTAAATTTATATCTTTTGATTTCATACTTTAAAACAGGCCAAAAACGAAATCCACAGCAATGAAGTTTTTATTTATATTGATTTTATTGTAATCCTTTTTTTTCAAGTAATGAAATATTGTTCTAAGTTGTATTGGGTATGAAACTTTATACTTTTTATTGAATAAAACTTCTTTACGCACGCTTGACTTAGATGAATGCGTGACGAGAGCGTTATGAAAAGGCGAACGGAAGTTGAGAAGGATTTAAAAGTTAGTGAAGATAGAAAGAGAGAGAGTTACGTGTCGTATATTACTGTAGAGGCAAGAGAGAGAGGTGCGAGCACATATTTTCTTTCCCTCGTTCTCTCAAAGTAAAGAAGTTTCACTACAGTCGTGTGGTCTAAAGCACACTTGTTTATTTTTCATTAGTAGTTATTATATCTATCTATATTGAGAGGAGATGGATAATGATGAGCTGTATGAATCCACAATACAAACACACACCTGGGGTAGCTAGACATGATGGAACCCCACGATCATGACTCACAGCTAGCGACTTAACCACTTTCATCAGCATTTTATCGTCTAGTTACCGGTGCTTTTAAGGAGAATTTTCTTTAGTAGGTACTCTGTTGATCTAGTCGCTGTATGTCTTCCAGTGTGTCCCTACCGGCTCTTGTTATTTAACGATTCAAACTATACTCCTTTAAAATAAGATTAGATTATTCTCTCGATATTTACAAACTATGTAATAAAATTACTCCAAATTTTAAAAATATGAACAGAATCTTCAAATCCTATATAATATATTCCATGAGTTTATCATAAAAATAATAATGCCATTTTCCCTATCAGGTAGAAGACACAGGGTCAGAAGGTGCCACGGGTGAGCAGAGATCATCCAACAGAACGAGACGGAGAAAAGTACGCGCTCCAAGAACAGTCGTCAACCCTGATGAGAATTTCTACTTCTACTGGCTTTGGCTCATCACTCTCTGTGTGTTGTATAATCTGTGGACGTTGATTGTCAGGCAAAGCTTCCCTGAGTTACAGGTAAGAAATGTGAAATTTGTTTAGATAGACTAAAAGTATCTCAATAGAAATAATAACATTATATTACAACCGCCCCGATATAACCGTACAGGACAAAATAAATAAAACCACCACCTGATCAATATAGCAGTGTCAACCACTCACAACCTACTAAAAACAATAGCAGATAAAATACACAAATATGCCATTTTTTTTTTTTTTTGAACGTGCGGAAATCCCCTCGGATAGTCACCCCACCGGGGTTTGCGGCGGGGTGGTGCGTCGGACTCGGCCCGACTAAAACCACACGGTGTGCCATTCTGCCCCTTTAATAGGAGGGATCCGGGAACAGCTGTTATTAAGACATCCGGACCCCTCCTAGCGCCGGCCCGCTCCTGTTGCGGGCTCCGTCTCAAAATTTTCCTCTCTTTAGGCGACGTCCGGCACACGCGGACGCCGCCCCCTCGCGGCTGGCCAAACTAATGCGGGTGGAGGGGAAACCCACCCCGTCCACCCGCGGCCACACTCAGGGCGGCATTAGGCGGTGATAAGCGCGCCTCCGCCGCCCGGTTCACCGGCGGCGGATCGGGTCCGAGTGGAGGTCGTCCTCCCGGGCCTTCTCCGCCGCCTCCTTCTGCGAGATTACTTACTCGCAGAAGGTTGCGACCGCGGTAAAACAACTGTCGCTACCGGCCATGGAGCGTACTACGGCCGGTAGTGAGAGATCCACTCCGATGACTGCAGTGAGGGCCCGGCGCTGCGTCGCCCATGCGGGGCAGACCGCCAGCGTGTGCTGGGCCGAGTCCTCACTGCAGTCGCAGTGGTGGCAGGCGGGACTCAGTTCCCTCTTAGCGACCGAGTGCAGGTACTTTCCGAAGCAACCGTGCCCGGAAAGCACCTGCGTCAGCCGGAAGGTAAGGGTCCCGTGCTGCCGCCCTGCCCACTCGGCCATGACCGGCTGGAGAGCCTCCACGGCGGCGAAGCCAGCGCGTGGAGCCTCCAGCCGGAACGACCAACGAGCCACACAAATATGCCTACCTTAAGGACAAAGTGTATACAACATATGACGTGCAGAGACTATAGAGGAGTCTAAAGCTTCTCGGTGTAGAAAAAGTATTAAGGCGTGAGTGTGTGTGGGCAAAGAAAGACACAACTAGTACATAATAACCACCATTTCTTTAGGCACATTGCGAGGGGTGCGTGGTCCGGCACCTCCTTGTGGTGCACCCTGGGCAACGGAGACGGCAGCGCCTCTCTCCCTAGGTGGGGGAGGCGCTGCCGCCTGCGGCCAATTCCGGCCGAGGTGGGAACGGCTAGTCAAGGGCTGTTCGGAGGGCTGCTTTCCGCATGTCCCTCTGTTTGGCAGAGGGCATAGGGGAGAGCGGGCTGGGGGCGGACGGGTCCACTGCCGCTGGCTCTGTCCAGAGGTGGTGGACACTGGTCTGACGCAGACCACCGTCCGGCCATGTCGTAACCCTGACTGGCAACAGTCAGGAATGACGGCTCTTCGAGGGCTACGAGGAAGGCAACCTCTATAAAAAACCCTGGGGCGGACGGACCCGGTCTGGTGCAGACCCCGTCCGGCCCAGCCGTAATCCTGGACAGGACCGGTGGATCTTCGGATCCGCGAGGACGTAAACCTCTATAAAAAATGCTCTAAGCCCACGTTCTGACGCCTGGCAAGGGGCTGAGTCGCTGGAGGGAGTCCAGTGCCGAAGGCGTCCCCGTCGAAGGACGTTAAACTAAAAAACCATGACATGAGGCCAAGGATTATTAAATCTACCCAGGAGGGTCCCGGACACACAGTGTCTGGGGAATCCCTCCCGGAGCCAAACGGCTCCGGCAGCTCCCACTCGTATTCTGGGGGGAGCACCAAATGTCGAACCTGCCCGACGCCGAGCAGTAAATCCGGCGACGTTATCGCGGAGGACGCGAAAAACCTGGAGGTAGTGTCGAACACCGACACTGCCTCGGAGAGGAGCGGAGCGAGTACCCCGATGGTCTCAGCTGCAGAGCAGCACCAGAAGGGTACTCCAAAGCGCAAAAGGCGCTCGCTTCGCCTGGGCCTGAAGAGGCAATTGGAGTCGGCCTCGAGCGACGAAGCCTCGGCTCCCAAAGTCGGCACAAGCCGCAGAGGCGCTCGCGGCGGAGGCCGACTCCCCAAGGCCATGGTGGCCCGGAAGAAGGTGGCGGTCCAGCCCGCGGCGCTGGGAGGAGCCGAAGATGGGGGTCTGGGACGGAGAAGAGAGGAGGGGGTCGCGTCCGAGATGTCGACCACTGATGTGGGGAGCGGGGGTGGGGGTGCTGGCCTCGTTGAGCTACGAGGCAAAACCGGCAACCCCGTCGACCGGATCGAGGAGGCAATCGGCGCGGCCGATTCCTTGCTTCAGACGTCCGGTGTGGCCGGGGGCCCCCAACAGGAGGCCCTGGTAGCGGTCGTGCGCTCCATAATCGAGGCGGGCAGACTTCTTGTGGCCGAGAGCAGGGCCCACGCTAGGGAGAGAGCCCGCCTCGAGGCGGATCTCGCCAAGGCTCGTGCCCACGCTGGTGCCACACCAGCGTCTTCGGCACCTGTGGCGTTGTCCGCCCGTAAGGAGCCGGACTTAGTCCGACTCGTGGCGGAGATGGAGGAGCGTATAATGAGGCGCATCTCCGCAATAGAGAGCGCCCGTTGTCGCCCACCTCTGGCTCCGCCAAGGGCAACCTATGCGGCCGCTGCCAGGGCGGGCCTAACAGCCCAGCCAGCAGCTAGGGTGGCTGGGCCGTCATCAGCGCCCCCGCCCCAGAAGACCGGAAAGGGCAAAGGGAGGGGGAAGGCGGCCCCAACCCAAGCCCCAGTCTCGGCCCCGGCTGACACCGCACAGCGCTCGTTGGAGCGGGGCTGGACGGTGGCCGGGGACAACAAAAAGAGGCGGAAGGCCGCCAAAAAAAGCGGCCAAGAAGGCGAGGAGGGACGCCGCCGCCGCCGCGAAGGGAGCGCCGAGGAAGCTCCGCGCCCCTCGCTCCTCGGCCGTCGTTATCACTTTGACGGCGGAGGCAGCGGAGAGGGGCGTGGGGTACGCCGAGGTCTTGACGAAAGTCAAGGCCAACGTGGACCTCAAAGCCCTCGAGATTCCGGGCGTCCGGTGTAAAAACACACGGACGGGAGCCCGGCTCCTCGAGGTAGCCGGCGCTACCAGTGGCCCCAAAGCCGATGCCCTAGCGGCTAAGCTGAGGGAGTCACTGGATCCAGCTGACGTCCGAGTGTCCAGGCCCACTAAATGCGCCGAAGTCCGCATCACGGGCCTGGACGACTCTGTCACGGCGGACGAGCTCAGACTCGCCGTGGCGGAGACGGGAAGCTGCCCTCTGGACAGCGTGAAGGCCGGAGCAATACGCTTCGGCCCCGGTGGACAGGGGGCAGCGGTTGTCAGCTGCCCCATCGCGGCGGCCCAGAAGGTCGCCGATGGACGGAGCCTCCTGGTCGGAGGTTTCCTGAGGGCGCAGGCACGGCTCCTGCAGGCCCGACCGGCAAGGTGCTTCAGGTGCCTGTCGGTGGGTCACGTAGGGGTGCACTGCACGGCGGAGGCCACCGTAGGTGACCGATGCTTCCGCTGTGGCCAGCCCGGTCACAAGGCGGGTGGCTGCAACGCTCCGCTGCGTTGCTTTAGGTGCGCAGCGGGGGGCAAGCCTGCCGACCACCGGGTTGGTGGTAAGGCCTGTGCCCTATCGCGACCGAAGCCGGGAGGCCGACCTTCCGCCTCCGAGCCGCTGATCCAGACGGAGAGTGCCGCTGGACAGCCGCAAAGTTCGCTGCGGGATGCGGGGATGGAAGTCCAGTGATGGATCCACATCTCCGCATCCTCCAGGTGAACGTAGGCCACGGTGCCGATGCTCAGGATCTTCTGCTCCAGAGCATGGCACAGTGGTCCATCAACATCGCCGCTATCGCCGAGCCATATGTCCATCGGTTTCTCGGGCCTGCCTGGGAGACCGACTTGGACGGCACGGCGGCCCTGGTGCACTGTACCGCAGCCGGCACTCCACCTCTTGCAGTAGTTGCAAGGGGACGGGGCTGTGTAGCGGCGATAGTTGGAGATATAGCGGTCGTGGCCGCTTATTTCACGCCGAACCGAAACCTAACTGAGTACGAGCAATGGCTCGCTCAGCTGGCCGTCGTCGTCGATGCCTGTCGCCCCCACCCGGTTCTTGTGCTGGGGGACTTCAACGCCTGGTCGCAGGCTTGGGGTTCCCTGCGCACGAACCCGAGGGGCAGGGCATTGGAGAACTGGGCTGAAAGATTCGGCCTAGTTCTCCTAAACCGGGGGGCCGTGGCCACGTTCGTGACGGCGAGGGGTAGTTCGATCGTGGACATCTCGTTCGCATGCCCCTCGCTAGCGCGTCGTGTCCAAGGCTGGCGCGTCGTTGTCGGGGAGGAGACAGGTTCGGATCACCGATATATTCGGTTTGACGTCTCCGCCCCTGCAGATGGCGCGCCGGTCAGACCGGCACCACCTGAACCACGTTGGGCGCTCAAGCGCTTAGATCGCGACCTCCTCCTGGAAGCCGCCATCTTACAGGCCTGGGCTCCTGCGCCGGACAGGCCTGTCGACGTCGATGCTGAGGCACAGTGGTTCCGGGAGGCCATGACCCGCGTCTGCGATGCGGCGATGCCTAGGGCTCAGCCCAATACTGCAAGGCGCCAGGTCTACTGGTGGTCGCCGGAGATCGCACGGCTGCGTCAAGCCTGCGTGACCGCGCGCCGCCGGTGGTCCAGGTTCCGCAGGAGGCGTCGCCGCCCCGAAGATGCGGCGGCGAGAGAGGCGGAGCTGTTAGCGGGTTACAGGGTTGCCAAGAGGACCCTTCAGGCAGCGATAAAGCGGGCCAAGAGCGAGGCCCGCCGCGAGATGCTGGAGACACTGGAGCGGGATCCGTGGGGACGCCCCTACCGTATGGTTAGGGGCAAGATGCGCCCATGGGCCCCGCCGCTCACACGGTGTCTTCAGCCAGAGCTGCTTGAGAGGGTCGTTGGCTCCCTGTTCCCAACGCGAGTGGTGGAGCATACT